CTACGGTCTACAACAACGCCGTGGTCGTGGTGCAGTATGAATGAACCACTTTCGATGCCGATGACGCACATCGACACGTTCTCATGGCAACGCGCGGGGGGAAATGTCAAGTCGATTTTACCACTCCTGTTGCTCAAACCCTCTGGAGTGTTGATCAGTTCTACGGAGTAAAAAAAAAATTGGCTATATAGTTAAACCAATATTTAGCAAGAAATTTGTTATGCAGCAGCGTAGCGGCCTCGGGGGGCGCGTAGCAGCACCCTGCTGTTTATTTTTATTTCATCATGTAATTTTATTTTCACTGTTGGGACCCGGGCGACGACAAACCTCTCGCCCGCTCCTTAATTCCACCTGACTTCCGTGTAAAACTTTTGGAGTAGCCGTCGGTTGTTGGCTCACGGAATATGCACCCCCCCCCCATTTCTCCCTTTCCCCTTCCCGCCTGTTGGACCCGCGTCATCATCTCCCATGATGAAACATTTTGTGTCGATACGTGAAACGTGCGAAATGATAAGGCTAATCCTAGCCCAGCAGCTCGCGCTATCTCATAGGTCGACAAACGAGCCTCGGCGGGGAGTGATCTGGCAGGATGTGGAGAGGCTGCGGAGCGCGGGGGTCCAGCGCGACGTTCGCGTCGCGCAGCACCGCCCGCGAAGATGTTGGTGAGTGCAAGTCACCGGGGGAAGTGCGGGGAGGGGGGTGGGGTGGAAAGAGGGCTCCACTTCGACAAATGGCACGTTCTGGTAGTTCTGCCAGCCCAGCCAGCGACCTGCGCGCGACCTGATCGTGTTTCCAACCGATTCAACCCCTTGCCTGCCTCTCGTCTTCGCGCGTCTCTGACGCGGCGAGGCGTGTCGTCGCTTATCTCAAAAGCGTCTTGCAAAATGGCTACATTGATGGCGAGCACGAGGCTGCGGCGGGGGCGGCGCGGGGCCGGCGTGGACAAATACATGGCGGATAAATTTAGACGGGTTGGGTCTGCCGGGCTCTTTAGCCCCCCGGCGGCGGGGCGTGGCGGGGACTGGCCCGCCTCCTCCAGCAGACGGACGCGACGAGCCTTGCCTTCCTTGGGGCAGCGCGTCAACAACAACAACATTGGAGAGTCAACAACACGCCGGCGGCACGTGCAGGCCCGCCTCGGCGGCGCCGCGGTCACGTACTGCACGGACACGCCAGGCGCCCGGTGCTCGTGTCCGCGCCGGCAATACCGAGGTCAATACAGCAAGACTCGTCGCGGCTCGGTTCGGCTCCCGATGCGTCGCCGCGCTTCCCTGGACGTGTAGTTAGTTGGAGCAAGGCAAGGCGGGAGACCGCCGCCTCGGCCTCGCCCAATGACGTGGTTATTGTCTACCCTGGCCAAGGCCCAGTGGCGGCCGCGCCGGGGCCGCGGGCCGCGCCCCCCTGTAGCGGTGCTCGCCCTGGCGTGGCGGGCCGCCCTGCCCGGCCCTGCCCCCTGCCGTAGACAGGCGAGGCGCGCGCTCCCTCAAGGTCAGGACGCGCGCTCGTAAGCCCAGCTCGTGGAAGTGCGCCCGCCCGCCCGCGCGCGCGCTCTTATTCTCTAACCGCGCTTGTCCGTTGGCCGCGCCAGAGCTCTCTTGGCGGCCGCCCTGCTTACGGGGGCGTTAATCCCGCCCTTTCAATTAACCCCTCCCCGCTGCCCGGGCCTGCCCCACATGCGCCGCCGTTAGGACTTGTCACCTCGTCATCGCGACGGGCGGTTTAGCAGCAGCAGCACCGCCGCGAGGCGAGCCACGACGTGCTGCTGCTGCTCACCTGCCGCCCAAAGTGACACAGGTGACAACGTCGCGACGTGTGCAGGTTGTAATGTCGCGGATGACCCGCGCGGGTCTATTGCGAGTGATGGAAGGGGCATTGTGTTCCCCTGCCTCGTGACCACTCGTGACATGCCACTCGATGCGCGGCGTGGCGCGGTGCCCGTGGCGGCGGCGGCGGTGGTGTGGTGCCGACCACTGATTAGTGTACCAGAGACTGCTATACCCTCCTCTCTCTCGCCCCCGCCTACTACCTGCTGCTGCTCGCGAGGAAGCCTTCTATTTCGGGCGCTCGAAAAGTTCAAAGCTTTTCGTCAAGTCATCGCACTGAAATAGGCTCCGACAGACCGTTACATTTTGCGCGCACTGCAAAATGCTTGCAAACGGAAAGAAAAAGCCGAGTAATACAAACGTTCAAGACCTTTTCGACATTAGTTGTGGTTAAGAACGAATCAAACGGATTCGTGTGTCCCATCCAGTGATTTCCCCAGTCATTTATCCAGTCATTCTTGCAATCACATCCAGTCAAATCAAATCTTTTGACTCAAAGTTAGGACCGATAGTGACGAACCCCTTGGGGATCGCCCAGAAAGTGCGCCCGTCATTCGCCGTTCCGAACCTGCCGAGTTTAGCATCGGCGAGCACTCATAGCGCCTGCTAGGTAGGCAACATCTTGTCTGCGGCGCATGCGTGTACTGCGGGGTGGCCTACCCCGAGTCTCGCAGGCGCTGAGCTCACTGTAATTTGCCAAATGCTTGAGGAAAATGGACGTACTTTCTAGACAAACTCCTTAGGGGTGAGGGGACGCCACCCTTCCGTCGCGGGCCCGGTGCCTGGGTGGGGCCACTAAGTAGTACGGGAAGGCCGCACTTTGAGGGTGGAGCCGGTTGTCTCTCTCACCCCTCACCCCCTTTATTTGCAGAGCCAAAGGCGCAAGGCGGTGCACGTTTTGGGTGGGGGGCACGTTTGGCCCTCTGCGCCGCCCGCCCGCTCAACTCAGCCCCAGGAGATCCGCGGCGTGGGCAGAGCCACGGGCACCGCCGCCGCCGCTCCTGCAGAGGCGTAATGCTCTGCCTGTCATTGACCGGACCTGAGCGGAGCGGCAACCGACGACTCGCTCCGCAACCCGCCATGGCCCCGCCGCCGCGCCCCGCGCCCCGCCGCCTTGGCCCGCTCATCCACACAATAAGATAACTCAGCCCAGTTTGCCTTTTGTCGGGCCGTGGGTGCGGCGCAGGCCGGGTTACGCTGTGCTTGTGCTGCTGCTGCAGCGGAGCTGTCGATCGGTTACCCGTAGGGATTTGAAGGCTGGAAAAAAATGAAAAAGTTGCGCAAAAACGAAAAACAAAAACAAAGGGAAAAACGAAATTGTTCAAAAAGCCCCGTATTATGGGGTTTTCCTAAATTTTCCATTGTTGTTTTGCGGAAAATTAAAATCTCTAGTGACCCGCTGCCGCTACCGTGGTTTACATTCACTGAGACCTGCACGACACTTTGCGCCTTGTTCCCCCTTCGCCATTGAGTGGATCAGGGGAAATGGGGAACCACTCAATCATCTTCCGCACAGCCATCGAATGCGAGACCCTTAAAAGTAAACAATAGTCGCCACCCCAGTAATATTGACGTGTTCGGTCCGTCGATGCGCGCGGCCTGCCTCTTCTAGTTGGCGTCGAGCCCGCCCCTACCCCGATACCCGCTCTGTTTTGACCAGACGGCCGACAGGGGTCGCGCGGTCCCCGTGTGTGTGTGTAGCCTAACACTGCCTCGTCGCGAAAGCCTCCCCGCGCCCGCAGACCCGTCCCCGGCCGGCCTGCCCCCCCCCCCCCCCCAATCTCTACTTATATTTAGCCGTTTGAGTGTCTGGTTGACCTTCCCTGGTCACTGCGTGTTGTCTCTCCTGGACATTGCCGATAAGTCTACTCCTGAGTGTCCTGGTCCCGCGGGCCGTGTCCGCCCGACTCGTATCCTTTAACCTCAACGAGGACCCACGACTGCCTAGCGAACTGGAGCCAAGCCCCGCCAATAACTTGGGTCTCACACAAGGCCTAGGTCGGCCCCCTGCCACAACATGTTCGGTAGTGACGCTGCGGAACGACCGGCCCGCCTGTGCCGATGATGTGCGTGTACACAATAGTGCGTGCTGCCTGCGAACAGCACCCTCACAATCATAAAGCTTTGCTTTTGGTGTGTCGGATGTTTCGCCAATGGCTCGCAGCCCAGAGCATGGTGATGTGGCTGGCCACTCTCGCTTTCGTTGTTGTTGAGCGGGGGCGGCCCGCGACGCGACGGGACGCGCCGCGGACCGCTGTACACACTGCCGCACTTGTTCACTTGTTGCACCGTGCCGTCGTGCCGTGCGCACCCGCCGGCCGGGCCGGCCCGGACCAGACGGACGGACAGGCCGTCTGGGCCGTCTTGGTCGTCTTGAGCAGCGCCGTTCGCCGTTCGAACAAAAGCTCGCGGTGCATCGCTCCTTTTATCGCGCAGACCGATGCAAACGTTTATCGCCCTACCCTTCCCCGCGGCTCGGCTCGGCGCGGCCGGCAGCATGGCGGTGGCGACGACGACGACAAATCCGGATAATTCCGGTCGTCTGCGTCGTCGTGCCTCTGTGGCTCTGGGAATAGTGCAAGGGGCGCGGCCGCCAACGTAACCGGTTCGCTTCCTAGATCCGGTTCTCGGTTCTCGCGACGACGACGGCGCGACGGCAAACATGCGTCGGCGAGCTTCGACCCACGCGCCTGGGCCATGGTGTGTGTTTACGTGTACGTCACACGGCCGTGCCGCTATGCCCCACCCCCTCCGCGCGCTTCTTCTGGGGGGTGGGTGGGGGGCAGCGCTTATCTTCTAGGAACCCTTTCTCGAGTAGGAAAACCAAGCGCCCGCTTCCTGTCGCTGGTCGGCGGGGATAGAGGGAGGGGAAAACCCCTAGGGGGTAGGCAATGAGGCCTCGCATGGCACAGCTGTGTGCGTACGAGATGCCTAACCGGGTGTTCGCAGGCGCCAGCCTCGCGACCGAAGAAGCCACTATTTGATGTTACGCCAAAGCAGTCTACCCTGGGGAATTTGTTATTTGCAGTGGGGGAAGTTAACGCGTAATAAATTGCAGATAGGTAGAGAGGAGAACGTTTTACTGACGCCAACGCTTTGCTCTGCAGGTGCTGCTGGTCTCCTCTTCCCGGCGACCCGACCACTGGATCGTCCCCGGCGGCGGCGTGGAGCCCGAGGAGGAGGCGAGTGTCACGGCCATCAGGGAAGTCCAGGAGGAGGCGGGCGTCATCGGCAAGCTCGGGCGTTGCCTTGGTGTCTTCGAGGTAATAGTAGGTATCCCATTCACCAATAAGCCACTTGTTCTAGTCTAGTTTCAATGATATAGATGCGAAATGAAAGAAAAAAGTTGTGAATTAAATTTTTTTTGCAGTTGGAAAACTTTACAAAGAAGCTTATGTTCTGTTGCAGAATTGTGAGCAGAAGCACCGCACTGAAGTATTTGTTATGACCGTGACTGAAGAATTGCCTGAATGGGAAGACTCACGTAGCATTGGTAAGCTTTATCTCCTTCTTAAATGCTTTTTCAAATTACGTAAAAATAACTAACTTCTAAATTTTTATCACTTTGCAGGTCGTAAGCGGAAGTGGTTTACAATGGAAGATGCATTAACTCAGTTGTCTCTCCACAAACCGGGTCAACTAACTTACTTGCAGTCTCTGCTTACCTGTCGCAATGAGAAGGTCACTTGAAGCATCACCCTTAACTTGCACCGAGACCCTCAGCTCCCATTCTTCACAAGATTTTTTTTAGAGTTTGTATCAAAGACAAATGCTCAGCTGATGTTCAGCAATAGCAAGCTTTATTTGTTAGTGTTTTGCTTTTTGAATCAGTAATTTTATGTTGTGGTTGAATAAAATCAACACTGGGATTATGTCCAGCCTTTCCCCTCCCCCTTTTTTTACATCATTTTTAACAAATATTTTTGTAATAGTTCTGAAATGTTTTTCCATCAGTGTAAGTAGATCAGCAAGTTTATTAGGTCATTTGAAGACATAACATGTGCATGGGAGCTTTCAGGGAAACTGGATGCATATCCTGTATTTCGTATGTCACTGTATGGAATGGAAGCGCCATGTCTTGTCTTCTCCTGTTTACTATCAACCTGTTGCCTCTTGTGAGCTCTGTGAATATGAAAGAAAACTCCAGTTATAAATCATAATTCACTAAATTGCTTTTGCATCTAGTTTGACCCAAACACCAATACTAGTATTGATGTGAACAGTTATTGTGTACTGGGGGTCTTTCATTTGTTTAGCTCTGTAATGTTGTTGTTTCTTGTTTATAGGCACCTGTATACATTGAGTGACACCTTGTATCTGTGTGAGCTGCGTGGGTAGTGTGTGCAATGGGGCAGATATGTGTAAATTTTTCTTCTCAGATTATGATTTTGTGACTGAGCTGTTGTCAAAGTGGACCATCTGGACAGACCAAAGGAGCCCTTTATTGAGAATATGAAAACATACATTGTGGGGAGGGTTACAAGTGGAAGGAAGATGTGAATGTGGTGTGGCTTACTGATCAGTTTTGTACTTGGACACTTGTATGCATTTCATACCACATGATACCATTTGACATCCTACAGCATTATTTTCTATCTGAAGTAGTTAAATGCTGCACGAATTGTATAAGACTGTGATCAACTGTGTTTGTTTCTTTTGTTGTTGTTTTTTCTCTTTCTGGTGAGTTTGTTCTGATCATATGTGCAACCATTGATTGGTTATCTTTAAGTAGAATAGAAACTTGACTTTTATTTACTTTACTTGTGAAGGATTCTCTTATAAACCATATATTATCTGGTTTAAATATAAGTACAGTAGTCATGTAAGGATTGTACACCGGAACGTTTCTTAACTGAGTCTTGCTATAAATTCTAAAGTCATTTCTAGGATAAAATTGTACTTACCTTTTCTGTTTTTGTAACACACAATAAGTTTGGTTTATATTTCTTGGGGAAAAGAAAATAGATCTGGATGTTCTCACTAAAACTCATCATAATTTGGAGTGGTATCAAGATATTTGCCTTATTCATTTACATGTTTTATTTAAGCAACTGCATGCTGCTAGTTCATTAACAAATAGTGTTTGTACAGCATTGTACATTCAACATAACCTGATCAAACTATTGTAATGACATTAAAGTGATTGCTTCTGTTATGATTTTTCTCTGTATTACAGCACTGCTTGTAAAGAAATTTAATTCTTTTTTCTTGGGTCTTCATTCTTTTCTCCAAAGCAACCGCACTATTACTGTATAAATGTGCAAATGTGACACTGCATTCTTATGTATGTATGTAACTTTTGTGCTGCTGAAATGCCTATATATATATTCGTTTTTGGTATCTACTCGATTCTACCTTTCATTTCAAGATGGGCCTAATTTTTATTTTGCACTGTAACTGGTATTTTTCACGTAGACTTATGAAATTCTGTTAGTTTTGAGCTGTGAGTTAGGAGTACAAAAGTAGTATCACAATTAAGATGTTTGGCTGATGCTATAATGTAGCTTAGTTCTTCACCATGTTGCAAACCTTATTGGTACTTGTTGAAAATATCTGTTTTGTGATACTGCTAGGTGGTCCAAGCTGTGATTGTGAAAATATACAAGAATTGAAAAGCTGTGCTTTTCAACATTTGTTGGCTTTATTCTGCTGAAAATGGTCAATTGCAATATTTTATCTTTCTGCAGACCACATTTTCCTTACCAATTACCTTTATCTTCTAACGTTCTATTGGGTTGGCCTTTTCTATCCTTTTTTTGTGAAAGATTTTATGCCTGCTATTATCTTTGACTATTTGTAGATTTTTTAAAAAGAAAATAGATATTAATTTTAGGAGGAAATGTGATTTTTGTGGTCTGTCATGTTTGGAAATTGGAAGGTGCCATACTTGCTTTCAAAGTTTGCATATTCATGTGAATGTCCATACTGCATGCAAAGTATCATAACCCGATTAAATCCGATCATGCTAGGATGCACAAATGGGTTTAATAAACATTGAGAGTGGTGAAGTACATTTTCTTAATTTATTTTCCTTTGAGCCTAATTTTTTTTTTCAGTTCACCTTAAGAACTAAATGTTTCAGCAGTTACCCTGGAAAAATTACACAATCCCTCTTACCTCCTCACTTTGATTCTGGGTTAGTCACCAGGGGCGGACTGGCCCGGGCGGGAAGGCGGAAATCTCGCGCGGGCCTCCCTAAAAGGGTATAATTTCGGGCCCCTTTTCGAGCATGGGCCCCTGTATGTAGGCAAAGTCCCGCCGGGGCCCCGGGCCCCCCAGTCCGCCTCTAACCCTCTAGTCCCCTACACCCATCTCACTTAACACTTTGAAATAGTTCCGTGGTTGGTCCGAACGCCCTCCAAGCCAACCAGCAGAACCCTAACCCATACGCCCACTTCTTGAGAAAAAGAAAGGTGTGTTTGAACTGTCCCTCTTTGTTTTTTCGCGCGTATGTCGCGGTGCATGATGGGGGAGACGAGCACCAATCAAAGCAGTCCTTCTGATCCGAGCTGACTCTCCTCTGATTAAGGATTAGTAGAGTGTTTCTGAGGAGTTCGCCCAGCGGAGCGGTGGGAGACGGACGTGCGCGGGACAGACCCCCCATCCGCATCCCCCTCGCTTCGACACGATGAGCTCCACGTCCAGGACTTCGCGTCGTCGCCGGCCGGTGTCGGCGGACCGTAGTGCGAAGAAGCCCAAGGCGGACGTTTCTTCGCAGAAGCTTTGTTGGGTCCAGGTTTTGCCCCGCAACCATGAGGTGGAAGACAGCCTTCCCCTGCAGCAATGTGCCGACCAGCTTCGGCAGCGGATTGACCCCAGGTCGTCAGTTGTGATCGGTCCGTGCTATCCCCGTCTCGCAGTGACGACTGTCTGCCCCATGTCCCAGCGCACAAGGGTCCTGTCTGAACTTTTGACGGTGTTTGGGTCGGTGCTCTCGCCACATGGCTGGGATAAAAGTGATCTCTCGCACCACTACGACCCCCTCGAGCAGCATATCCCTCGGCCCCCGGAACAAGTCCTCCGGTGGTACAAGGTGTCTGCCCCCCCGTTGCTGATGCACTTTCTTGACCAAGCTCTCCAAGCCGACATAGGTGCACAGCCCGGCGTCCAGTTCGACCCGGCGAACGCAGCAACGTATGAACCCTCTGTCCGTGTCCGCATGCCGCCACAGTGCGCGGCCGACCTCGTTGCTCGAGGTTTGTGTATGGTCCCGGCCGAGGACGGTAGAGCTGCCTACCACATCGCGGTCTTCGTGGAGGCCGAGGAAGAGCCTCCGGATGCCGGCACATCCCCCCGCACGGCCCCGCCGCCGGTCGCACGCGTCTTCATCTCTACCGCATCGAACGCCACCCAGACAGATGCGCCGCCGTGCCCCCCGCCTGTTTCGGACGCACCCACTTCCGGGCCTGCCGACCAGCCGTCTCGTCGCCGCCGGCCTCGTCGACGGCGCCCTGGCACTGCGCCGCAGTGCTTCAAGTGTCAACGGTGGGGGCACACCTCTTCTTCGTGCTCCTCCCCCTCCGACGTCTGTCGAGTGTGTGCGGGGGCGCACAGAAGCAAGGACTGCGACCGGGGCTCCTCCACCCCCTTGTGCGCCAACTGTGGCTCGCAGGGACACGGTGCCTCCTCGCGGCAGTGTGCCGCTCTCCCGCGGGCCTTCCCCGCGGCCCCTCCCCGGCCCCGGGCCGGCAGCTCTACCAGGCCGACACGCGGGTTCGGCCGTGGCTTCCAGAGCAGTGTTCATCATCTTCTCGGCCCGCTCATCAGCCTCATCACTGCCTTCGGCGGCCTCTCTGAGGCGCCACCCCCGCCCCCTCGTCGAGGGCGGAAGAAGCCACCGGATCCCCGCCACCCCTAAGGCGAGGGCGGGGAGTGGGACTGTCCCACTCCCGACCGCCTCGGATCCGCCGCGACTGCGGCCCCAACTACTTCGTTCTCTCCCGCGCGCCATTCTGGCGCCCCTTCGACCCCTGCTCCAATCCTCCCACGAGCACCATAGGCTTCTAGCCTGAAAGCTTTTACAAGACAACTACTACTACTACTACTGACTCTCCTCTCTCTGTAATCAAGCTGTCAGCTGTCTGCTAGTCTTCTGTCAGCCACCCTTGGAATGTAGAGGGGATAAAAGTCACATCAACATATTCTGTTCTAAAATATCTATATCCCTGATATATGAAACGAACTACAGGTTTGGTTCTATTCTAAAAATTAATTATAATCGTCTGTGAATAATCGAGTGATACCTTACTGATGTGATATTGTGTTTTTCCTTTACTTCTGTCTACTTAACCTGTTGGGCTGTCAGTGTCCTGATTTGAGACAGAACAATTTAGGTATTTTGTGCAATGGGTAACACAGCATTACAGCAAAAGTGCGAAACAGCATCAAAAACAGGTGTTCTCAAAATTTCTCAAAGAAAACTCACGGAATTTCCGACATCTGTGAAACGTTTAGATCAAGTAATACGTGTGTTAGATTTTTCTGAAAATTATTTTGTAACAATACCAAAGGAAATAGGATTATTCATACATTTGAAACAACTCAACCTTGAAAATAACAGGCTTGTTAGTCTACCAGAAGATATTGGTAATTTATCAAAATTAGAGTCTTTTAATGTAAGTTACAATAAGCTCACGTCACTACCTGTCACTTTAGGGAAGCTAAAGCATCTGAAACAAGTCCAAATTACTGATAATCTACTTACTGCATTTCCTGTAATGCTTTGCCTGCTGAAGCATTTGGATTTTGTTGATTTATCAAGGAACAAAATTGGTGAAATACCAAATGGTATTGAAAATCTGTATGTGACAGAACTAGTCCTGAATCAAAATCAAGTTCGGTCAATTTCAGATGGAATAGCCAAATGCCCTCGCTTGAAAACATTGAGGCTAGAGGAAAATTGTTTACAGCTCTCAGCTGTACCTCTAGCTATTCTTACAGAGTCTTCCATATCAATGATAGCATTGGAAGGAAATCTGTTTGAAATGAAAGAATTTATGAATCTAGAGGGCTATGATGCATATATGGAACGATATACTGCTGTTAAAAAGAAAATGTTTTGAAAATGCACATTTATGATGGGCATAATTCATTTATTTTATGCTTCGTAGCTTTATTATTATTGCGTCCACATACTTTTATATTTCTTATGCATTTATTTATCATCATGCTCACTTTTATGTAACAAGGAATAGCTAGAGTGAAGTAGACACTCAAATCCACCTGGATGGGACCATTTTGTTTGCTTGTAAATACATTGATAAAGTGAAGCTTTAAATTTCTTAAAAGGTTAACTTAATCTTTTTCTATAAATTCTTTTCATGACTTATAGAATGAGCTTTGACTCCAAAATACTAGAGAAAAAGATACATAATTTTATGAATTAATTTAATGGATTCCCACTGATTTTTCAAATTGTTTGTCACCAAATAATTGTGATGTGTATACAGTGGCTACATTTAATCTAAGAAAATATTTGTTTGAACATTTTCTTCTTGTATGTTCTATGAAGTTGATGTTATTACTTTTGTGCATGTAACACAATTTTGAATGGATACAGCTGCACCACAAGTGGATGTGTTTCAAAGAAAATTCCTAAAAAGGTATTAAAGTGTGGGAGGGAAAAACTATTTATCTGTATTAATTATTTTTGATTCATCCATATTAACAACATGTAATGAAAAACATTTCTTAAAATGGTAGGCTTTGCCCGGAAATCCAATCAAGGATGGTGATGATGTCTGCTTTGGCAAGCAGTACGCTAACTGTATCCTTGGCTACAGTGGAGAGGAGACTGCTAACTTCTTGATGATATTCTTCCAAAAAATCAGGACCTACGTCGCTGACGATTCCACAAATAAGGTCACCAACCTCTCCACCTCCGAGGAAATTGGTCATTATCACCTGAAACGAAGAAATCGATCAGATCAGAATGCTTCAGCCAAGTCAATGTCCTAGTGAAAATAACAGATTGAACAATATTTTTGAGATGTGAAAACACGGCATTATCAAAACGACATGACATTCTTTAGACATTATTTCGATGTTCTGAAATCCATTGGGGGGGGGGGGGGTAACACGTTGAGTCGCAGGGGGGTCCCCTTTTACATACTACTGTGGTCATACGTCTGGTCATGTGGGACTCAACGTGGTAACCTTTAGAGCGACCCTTCTCGCCGACCCTCCTAATCGCCAACTACATATCCTCTTTGTTCAGCCGGATGGGTAGGCAACCATTCAGGCTTGTTCATCCAGGTCGGTAGTAGGGAACTGATCAGATCTACTTGCGACAACGATTGGCCTTAAGTATTGCGTTTGTATGTACCTTCAGTTTGGACATCTTCAAATTGATGGTCAGCTCCTCTATGGTGAAGTGCTCGCCTTGATATCCTAAGCGAACGTAAAGCTCAACTGTCGGCTCCCTCAGACGGACACTGGTGGAAAAGCATACATAAGGGCCCATTTCAAACTGTTTTGCACGAAATCGGATCTGTGTCAAGTTGTTTACTCAAAGTGTCCGTCGCCGTAAACGTGTAACTGATCCGATGCGGTGGCGTCGACTTTGTAGGTACCGTGGGCGTCCAAAGTTTCAAATGACACCTTCAAGCGGGCGCTCACATTAAAGAAGTTGACAACCTTCTCTTCAATCTTAAATGTGGACAATTTGTATACAGTTAAATCTTTAATGAAACCCGCGACGCTGGAACAGAAGTTAGTATTAATCAGCATTTTCAAACTCAATCGTTTCAGTTTGGCCTTGAGATTTGACCTCAACCCTCTCTAGAACACCACCAGTGCATTGGACGTCGTTCACCACCTACTTGAGCGTGGGGTCGTTGTGGCCGAGGTCGATGTATTCCTGTTTGAGCGGTTCCGCCATGGTCTCGATGAGCCTTCTGAGGGTCTCCACCAGTTTGTTGAACGCGTCATCGCCGGCGCTGCTGGCGCCCGCCCGGACTACAGCCTCGACCCAGGGCGGCGCGAGGAGCGCCGTCTGCCAGTCGCTCAGGTTCATCCCCATCGAATTTGCGGCGTCGCGGAACCGGTGACGGGCATCCAACGACTTGAAGAAAAGGTCAAGGGCGTCCTTTTCTAGACAAACGATGGGCAATCCTTAGGTGTGTTCCTTCCCTCCCGCCGTGATTGAGCCGTCATAAGGGCCCCGCGGCGGACGCGGAGCAGGGACTTCCCTCTCGTAAACTTACGCGTCATGACCTGGCCGGTGGAGCGCGCGCTGGCGCTGCTGGCGCCGCTGGCCACGACGACCAGCAGCACGGTGGGGAGCAGACACCTCATGGCTGGCACCTGAAAAACGGCATGCATACGATGAGCCAGTGGCGCGGTCGCGCACAACAGCTAAGCGAAAGGCGTTTATTCGTGACCCCTGGGAGTCAAATGAGAGTGCCCGAAGCTCGAGCCCCCGTTGTGCCACAACGGTTTTGGTGTGAGTGTGAGTGTGTGTGTGTGTGTGCAAAACATTCTATGATTAAGAGGCGACACTTTCCGGCCTGGCCCTTGGCAATGGAATTAGGAAACAGCGCCTAAGGTGAGTATTCATGCGATCGTGCGTGGTGACGGGGGGGGGGG